TTGAGGCCAAGACCAGGGCCCTGGAAGATCGCTGCAATTCAGTCAGAGCAACAGTGGCAGCCCTGGAAATTGTTATTGCAGAGATAACAAAGTCAGGGCTCTCCTGGAACAAACTTTGCTTGCAAAACAGTACAGCTTTGCCAGCCTCGGTTGGAAGCAGACGGGTTTGTACGAGCAGGTCATGGTTGGGACCAAGACTTCAAATGCAGTTCATCACAGAAAACTGATATCCTGTTTCCTCTTTAGGAACATCCCAGTGCTGCACAAGGACTGCTTTCAAGTGGATACCTGAGCAAGTTTGCAAAATGGGCACCACAAGCAGGCTTCATTATAATTAGGAACGTCAGGAGAGGGCAAGGCACAGTCAGGGAGCTGCTTGTGCTCTGCAGTGATCGGGGATGTCCTTGGGCACAGAATTTCATTGCACATGGATGGAAGCAGTCTGCTGATGCTGGATTTCCCTGTGCAGCACTCTGCCTTCCCTCTACATGGCCTGTCTAGGGCAGGCATTTGTGTGATGCTATTTTATTTTTAATGATGTTGCTTGTAAAAAAAAAACCAAAAAAACAAAAAGAAACCCTACACTCAGAAGACAGGAATGAATTGAATGAAGTAATCCACGCTTTCTTGATGTCTTCCTGTATGCTGACATGAGGCTATTCTTTCTTTATATGCATACACAACTTTCCTGCCTGTTCAATAAGACACTTGGAACAGGCTACCCAGAGACAGGGTGGATTCCCATTCCTGGAAACACTCAAGATCAGGCTGGATGGGCTCTAAGCAACCTGATCTAGCTGTAGGTGTCCCTGTTCTTGCAGGGAGTGGAACCAGATGGCCCTTAAAGGCCCTTCCAACTCAAATAATTCTAAGACTCTATGGTGATCAGAAACAAGCCACCATTTGCCTCCTACTGCCATTATTTAGGCCTTGCTTTGAAAATAGTTCTCTTCTTTGGGTTTTTTTTCAGGTTTTTCTATAGCTGATGTCACTGCAGCACAAGACTCCACCATGGCTGAAGAGCTTCCAGGATGACACACAGTATAGTGACAGGGCACTGATCTCTCACACAGACAGGAAGCTGAAGCAAAGGCACATCCAGGTCTTCCTAATGCAGAATATGGTTGAAAACAGCCATCAACACAGGGGTTATTTTGCTATGCTTGACCTTTTCTAGCGTTTTTATTGTATGTTATGGGATTACCCCTGACCTGACTGCACCTCATGCTCTCTACCTTGCCTGCAGAACAAATCCCAGATGATCATACTCTGTATAAGGAGCATCTCACCAAAGGATGAGCTGCTTTGAGATTGATGCCAAACGACCACGATTGCCAGTGGAAGAGCATGAATACCAACATTCCTCTTCTTCTCAGCACTTCTTCAACAATAACACTACTGTTCTATCTGGGCCCAGAAAGACCCAAACCAGTCAAGTTGAATCTCCTGCACCAGTTCTCAGCAAGGTGGGCACCTGACAGCTCTGCCTGAGGAAGCTAGAAGCTGAATTGGGGCATTTGAGAAGTGTTGGGCAGAGATCACAGAACAATGGTGACCAAGCTGCTTGAAGAGCCCACCGAGATTTGACAACTCCCTTGTCAACAGACACCACAGAATCCCTGGAAATTCACTATGCCTTCAGCCTTGCCATAAAGAGGAACATGCTGTTGCTATCAGTGGCTTACAGTTTGATCAAATTTTGATGTGTCTTTCTAGGGGTGATAAAAAGCAGCACTGGCACAGCCATTAACCTTCTGCAGTAATTCCTCTGCCAGGCACTGGAGCTTTCCAAAATCAATGCTGCTAGGAATTTTTCTTGCAGGCCAAATTGGTTAGCCTGATTTTATGGAAGTGGTTGAGAGGGTTTTTTTTTGGCTGCTTCCATATGTTTAAAGGAAACAAAACAAACACCTGATCTGGGCACCAGGCAGGAAAATTCCCATCTTAGAGTTACAAGCAGCAGGTTTCCTGCCAGAAGAGATGTGCTGTGAGTATCCCCTCCACAGTGATGGAAAAAAACACCCAGCACAGAAAATGCCAGTTTTAAACTTTGCCTTTGGTCGCGGCACTGATTTGATTCCAAATGCTGATAGATTGGATTGTGTGGTTTTTGAAGTTCTGTCCAGGCAGGGATTATGTGAGCACCTCTTGCCTGCCATCAGCTGAGGGCTGCTGAGAGCCAGCCACCAATGCTCAGCTGCCACGCACTGATTTTTCCCACTGTAGTAGGGCTGCAATGTGCCACCAAGCATCTCTGCCCCAGCAATCACTTGTGACACAGTTTAGTTGCACACGTCATGTAGGAGTGCTTGAGAAATAACAGCCCCATCTGCTTCCCTCAGAGTTGAGAATTTCAGAGGGAGGAAATTTTCAGGGCAGAAACGTCAGCATTTAAATAAAATTCCATTTTTCAACCAAGCCATTGCAGGGGCACTGTTTCTAACCTCAAATCCCTGGTGTGAACCTTTGGAAGTATCACTGAATCCAAGTGGCAAGGGAGGCAGGGAGGCCGCATGCAACAGCAGCACTGCAGATGCAGGGATCACCCCCAGAACAGGAGCTCAGTACCTTCTGGACTTCTGCAGACCAAGGTATAGGTTCTCAGTGATTATGACCATAGCAGTAATTACACACTGAGAATTCAGAATTTAAAGAATTACACAGGTAAAACAGCAACCAAAATAAACAATATTTATGCATTGAATTTGAATAAGTAGCATTCAAGACTTTCCCCACTGCAAATTTGCCCATCATCTTCCAGTAGCCATGGCTAATGTTCTGTAGCAAAAAGACAGTCTAAAATGGGAGAAAAAGAACTAACTATAAAGGCACACACTGTGTTGTGGCAGAAGGCAGTGTGGCATCTATGCAGCAAGGGAAGTATATGGAAAGGAAGCTTTTTGTTCTCCAGAACAGAGAAAGATGGAGGACCATTGGAGTCAATGAAATGAAGGACTTCCACGGTCATTTGATCAGTAATTAATGGAAATCTACAAATGAGGTCTATGGCTCTTGAACGTAAATCTGTAAATACTCAGTGCCAGCAAATTGGCTTGGACAAAGTAAACAGGATAGCCATGAAACTTCTTTATACCCAAAATCTTTCTCCTCATACTTTTTAAAAATTATTATTATTTTGTAGAAGAAAATTATTATTATTATTTCATGTCATTTGTATCCAATTCTTCCTGTCCTGCATTCCTTACTCTTTCTCACAAAGTCTTTTCCATGAGGCAATGACACAAGGGATGTCACAGCCAAGGTTTCACAGAAATCCAGCTCTGCTCCCATGAACATCTACCTCCATTTGAGTTGGCTATAGCTTCAATTCACGATTCATGCCAACTACTGCCCCACATTATGGGTCACGCTGACTCCCCAGGGGTCCAGGCCCAGCTCTCCTACATTCACCTCAAGGTAAAAAGGTGAATGTAGGTGGATACTGATGAGGAAGCTGGCTCTGAAAAGCCAAGGAGCTCTGCCACAACCTGGAATTACCTCTAAATTGAATCAGTCGATACCATGACACATGCAGAGATGGAGTGGAGTTTGCTAAGATGGACTCTGGGGAAGACACCTGAAGCAGCTGCATCAAAAACACAGATTGACTTGGCTTGGAAAGGACCTTAGAGATCACCTACTTCCAACCCCTTGTCATGGGCAGAACTGCCCCCCACATCAGGCTGCCCAGAGCCCCATCCAACCGGGCCCTGAATGGCTCTAGGCATGGGGCACCACAGACTCTCTGGACAGCCTGTGCCAGTGTCTCACTGTCCTCCAAGTGAAAAATTTCCCCTGACATCTTAAGAAAGAGGACACTGACACTTCTGGAGCCATGACGGAAAAGAGACGCATCCCAGGCTGGGGAAAACCAAGCTCTAAGCCTGTTCTCTAGTCCAGCTATGAACAGGCTTGAACTACAACTGGGCAAACAGCCAGAAACATGGGTATCCAGATTGAGGGTCCATGGGTTTGAGTTCCACGCTAGTGCCAGAACCCAGGTGACCAGAGCAGAGCCAGAAGCACAAGCCAGTCTGGACCCCAGCATCTCACCAGCAGCATGCTCCAAGGCTCTCTCCTAGGGATTTAAACAAAAGGAATTTTAATCTTTTTTTGTTTGAATGCCAGTGTTTGAATGAGGAAGATGGAAATTTTAACATGAAGCCACACACTGAAGGTCATGGGAAGGCAGGGCAGACATTGTCTTCAGTAACACTAAAAGGAAGACCAACCCTGCTGTGTCAGAGCAAAAATAATAATAATAAAAAAAAGAATACTTCTTTTGATTGGAAAGAAAGTTTCTCCATGGCTGGTTGTGGTGCAACATTGCACAACAGAGACTGCTGTGGCTGGGAGCAAGGAGAATTAATTACTTTGCTTTCTGAAGCATGTGCAGCTCTGCTCTGCTGTGCCAACTCCAGGAATGATAAGCACTCACCCGGAGAGCACAGGGATTTTTTTCTCTGGTGTGAGCTTTGCCTGTCTAAATGACAGCAAGCTGCTGAGTCTTTGCTTTGTTTTCTTCATGCTCAGCCTAACTGTGAACCTAGGGAGCTCACTCTCTTTCCAGACGCACAGAGATGAATTCTGTGCTAAGGGAAGGGGAATCGGACCCAGCACCTCTATGGCTGGGAAGTGCCCACAGTGCTGATTGCCATCGAGGTGGCAGATGACAGCATCTCATCAGACAAGGCTGTGACGAACACAGACGTGTCTCCAGCCCACTGAGTGTCCGTGGATTTTGATTTCAAGGGCATTCCAGCATCCAAACAAAGCTGAGGCACGTCTCTCCCAAAGCAAGCAGGCGGTGGGGCGGCGGCACTGAAGGATGGCTCCGATGCTTTGTCCTCAGCTGCACAGCAGCAAGTTGCATTGCAGAATGGACTTAGTGCTGATGTGCCTGGCCTTTCAGGGGGTTGAATTGTTTTCTCAATACTCATGCTCCCCTGACTTGTTTAGGATTTTTTCTTATATATATATATATATTATATATACTTATATATATATATATGTATATATGTATATACACAAGTGGTTTGGGAGCTGAGTTCACACAAGTTGCTGAAGCTTTCCCCGCCTCTGCTCACAAATAACTTCCAGGTGTCCCTTGGCAGGAGAGAAATGGTCTCACTCAGCAGAAGCACCACCCACCGACTCAGGATAACTGCAGATGCTGCCGCACTGACCTTCAGCAAGCAGAAATCGCACTGTGTTTGAATTTTCACGGCGGTGTTGACACCCCTTTGAAAAAGAGCGATTCCCACCTCTCCCCGAGCCACTGCTTATGGCCATCTGCAGCCGCTGTGTGCCAGAACTGTAACTTCTCGCTCTCTTCCTCTCCATTTTTTGACAAAAGCTGCCAACTTACCTAAACCGTTGCAAAAGAGTTGAAGGATACAGACACGGGATGATTTTTAACATCAACAGCTCCTGCTGACACATTAAGACTTGTGGCAGCAACTCCTGCTGGTTCCACAAACGCAGCGGAGCCAAAGCTGATGTCTCCCCAGCAACCTGCACACTCACGTTCCGAGTTCATCTCCATTTTTTAAAAGAAATTATTAAAGCTGTTACAAGCGTAAGATTAAATATAAAAGCTTTTCAGAGCTTATTAGGCTTTCACCATCTATTTCTCAATGCTAGCTAGAACTGCCCTACTTCCATGCCTTGCATAACTGCTGTTAATTTGCTGCTCCCGAACAACAGCCATCAGAGCCTGAACAAGCCAAGGAACAAACTCTCGGACAAGATCAGCAGTTTTCTGGGGTGATGTTCTTCCTGAATCACCGTATGCAAGCAGCAGTTTCTTGATTGACAATTATGCTTGTTCAACACTAGATTAATGTTTCAATGTGCTCCAGACTACCAGCTTCTTAAAACCATCACTGCTCAGGTTGCAAATCCAATGCTCATGGCAAAAATTATGCCCACATCTTATCTGCTGCTGCTATTAAAAGAGATTAGATCAACGTTCTTCTTCCTTCCAACCTTTTCCTATTTCACCTGTGTTCATCAGCTCTCTGTTGGGGTTGCAGTTCCAGTCAGTGTTAGCACATACATAGCAAAGCTGAAGTCTGACACACAGTGGCATAGTCAGAAATAAATGCATGTCCACAGAACTGCCCTCATTTGGGCAGTGTGCAGTTTACCACTGCTCCATGCATAGTGAGGAGCCTCTCAGTGTAAGCAAGCTTGCATCTTCATGTTTACTTAGGGGAAAAGAGTGCATCTTTCTAGACAAGAAAGGTAGTGAAGTGGGAGCGTCAGCCCTACTGATAAGGCCCACTGGCGAATTTAGTTTAAGTCAAAACAATGGGAGCAATACAATAAGGTACAAATTCAACATGAGTGATCTCAGTGGTGGCAACAGCACTGAGTTAAAGATCATCAAATACAAAGAATATCCTGCCCAGCGGCTGCTGCTCCATGCCCATGGGCATTTCCACTGCAGGGTGCTCCTCCTAAGTCTGTGTGCTTCCTGTTCGTTCTACAGAGGCTCCCCTTATGAGTTAGAGAGAATAACTCCAATTCCACTTTTTAAAATAAAAAAGACCAATTGAATTCCCTCCAGCTATGTTTTAAGACACCCTGCCTGCAGCCAGAGGTGTTACCCTTGCAGTTACACAGGTACAGTTACTCTCCTGCTACTCGTCCCTGGATTCCTCCCACTTTCCTTCCCCCTCAGCATCATGCCCACACATCCCCTTCAGGGTTGGTGGCTTGTGGGTTTGGTTTCACTGGGAGCAGTGCAGCTAGGGGTCATCATTAATCACATTGTTTGCCATTCTCCATTTCCCTGCTCATTGTCCCATGCTGCTTGTTAAGAACCTTATCTTTATTAGCTGGTCTTATCATGACTTGATTACACATTAACCGAAGCACTCCTTACTCAGCAGGATTTCCTGAGGATTGCATTGCTTTCAGCTTCAGAAAGCAGCTCTGTGGAGCAAGCCACTCCACCAGAGCCAGCCTAGGAAGTTATTGATCTAATTTAAGATGCACAAGGGGACATGAAAGCTGCAGGATGACTTTGAGGAACGCGCAGGAACAGATTTAGAGGACAAAGCACTTCTATAGGGAAGCAAATGCATAAGCTTATGTTGTTTGCACTGACGCTAAATTATACAGTAATTATTTGGCCTCAGTGAGCTGTGCTCTAATAGCAGCTACAGATCTAAAATCCTGCAGCTGCAGCCAGCTAAATATCCTCCATCCACTTAGTTACTCAACCAGATAACAGCTGTAGGGCCAGTTGCATCTGTCTGCCCTCAAGGAATCAGGCTGACACAGTTCTTCGAGATTTACCAGACCATCAAGCACTGTATCACTACACCACATACACCATCGATAGAGGATTTTTCCCCTTCAAATCCACTATCACATCACTCAGAAAACTTGAACAGCATCAATTTGTATCAGTTTCTCTCGCTTCTTCTTTCCAATCCCCTGCCAAGCACATGGCACAGAAGAATCATTTGAAAAGGACAAAGTGAGGAGAGCAAAAGTAGGGAAATACATTGTTAGATATGAAAACTTTTTTACTGATGGACGTCTTTCTGAACCACAAAAATCCACCTCTTATCAAGGCAATGCTCTGCCCGAGGACTTCACAGACTACTGAAACCTGCCATTGCCAGACACAAGGTCATAGCAGACAGCCCAGGTAAAAATGGCACAGCTCAGTTTGCCACAGCCCTCCACACTCCCATCTGCTCCTGTACCCCAATCTATGCAAGCTCTAAGGACGAGCTGTCAGGAATGTGGAGATCTGGAGAACCTGTTATCCATTTGATTAACAGAGCTGGAAAGAACTGCACAAAGGATCCTCTGGAATAGCTGCAGCAAGCTCCAAGTGCATATATTGAATTTGAGGACAATTACTTTGAGTTTTACTGGTTACTTCCATCATATCATGAGAGAATGAGTTGGTGATATCTGGAAAACAGAGATGGATGTGAGCAAGGGAAGAGGTACTAAAACAAGTTCTTCCCTGGGAGCGGGGAGGGAGAGATTGATTGTTTACTGCCACAACAGCTAACAGAAGAGACAAAAAAAGATTGTAAGCTGTTATAAAACCAATACTGTTACTGAGACCATAATTTTAAGTATCAAGACTACACTTCTAAAAATGAAGTTCTTTCTTATATGTAATGGCTGTCATGGTAGGCAAAGGATGAAGAGCCTCTGGTACAACCTGCTCAGGTAAACAGACTATTTCCATTCTGCAGATGCATCTGGTGATTCTTGTGACAAGTCTTCCCTTCCACTTCAGAACACAGGCTCACAAAGCACAGGGAGAGGGTGCAGGTTTGAAGTGATTGGGCTGCTGAAAGAATACCCTGTCCTTCCGCCAGTCCTATCCCGAAACATTCAATTGGCACAAAATTGAGTTCAGTTTCAGATCAAAAAGAGGAAAGGAAGATTTTAATGAGACAACACTGTTCTCACTAAAACATACAGGAAAACTAAAAATCAGATTGCAACTACCCAACAAGAGCAGCAGATGTATTAGAAAACTCTCACCAGAAATGCAGAAACTGCCTGTCTAGAAGTCCTAAGTTCTTAAGCATCTCTAAGAACCTTCTATGCAAAGAGCAAGAGAGACTGTGATCCAAGCTAGGTCTTTTTCTAAAACCTCTCAAGTTTTTGCTTACTGTAATTAAAACCACTACCAAAGCACTTCTGCAAATGAAGGCAGCATAACTATTTTGCCCTAGACAAAGCAGTATGCACTGACAGCAACTTTTAAGGGTTGATTTGAGTTCTAAATGCAAACAAAAAATTCACTGTATACTCTAACCTACTTGAAAAGTCACTTTAGAAATAAAAACCGAAGTATCACATCCTCACTGTCATCCAAATCAAATACTCTCACACTGCAAGGACTTCCCACACCACACAGATGTCTGATGCTATTTAAGTGAAATCAACCCAGTGCAAGAACCTTGCAAGCAAGGACTGATCTTCACAGAATCACAGAATCGTAGGGGTTGGAAGGGACCTCCAGAGATCATCGAGTCCAACCCCCAGCTGTGAGCCAAAATGTTTCAGCCACAACATCATTCTTGTCTGTACCGCTTCTGGGTTGTACAACCCCAACTGTTTAGCAAAGCCAACTGACAGTCAGATAAAAAGTTGACTGTCCTGTCATGCTTGACACTTCTTTCTCTTATTCCCCACATTTTGCATTTGGGTGTGCTGGTTCCCATAAGGAGCTACTGCCCTTGGCTACATGCACTTTAGACAAAGCCAAAGCAGACACCAAAACAGCTGAAAAGGAGCACATCTGTTCCTACAAACAAGTGAAGACTACAATTAAGTTTGGGTTTTGCTATGACAGATGCAGAACAGGTTAAAAAAAATTGTTGCACTGCACGATCCAGAGCACTGCCAAATTCAGCAACAGTTTGAATGCTTGCAACATCCTTCTCCTGTGCATGGGAATATCCAGGATCTTCCAGGAATATCAGCTCCTGCAAGATTTAATCTGTTTCCTGGATCTACAATGAAAGTACTGAAAGAATAAGAGCTCCAAATGCCATCAACTGCAAAAAGCAACTTATTTAATCTTCTTGATACTGCCCCAACATCTTTGCTGTGCTCTTTCGATTTTAATACGAATTGAATTTTTATCTTACATGATGTGTCTTGGGGAAGAAGGGTAAGACAGATCAGAAAACATGGCAAGAATAACTTTCCTATTTATTAAATTATAAATATTATTATAAAACTCATTTATGCATAAATTAGAAAACTCAAATCCTCCAACATCCAGGTTTAAGAAAATGTCATCTGTGCTTAGAAGCTTCCAAGTGAAAATACTGAAACAGCGATGGCAGTCAGTTAACTCCTGAGACTGAATCCCCAAAACAAAAGTAGCCAACAGCCCAAGACACACACCTTGTCATTTTCTTTTCTCTCCTGCTGAAGTAGCAGCAATAAGCACAGTTAGCTCAGAGTGAACAAGTACCTGCTTAGAAAGACAGTCATATTACAGGCACAAGCACAAGGCTTCCTCGTTATGAAAGGCTTATCTTCTCATCCCAGTTACAAGTACAGATATTATGTAGTGCCTCATCTCCCCCTATCATGGATTAAAGATTCAGTAGGAAAAAAGAGACAAGTGTTGCTTTTCTCTACAACCAGAGACTGTCACTTTTCACAGCCTGCATTGTGAAAATGCACTTGGAAAAATATTTTTGACCAGACCATTCACAAGTCCAGTTAAAAAACTTCTCAGCACCTTCACATCCCCTTCCTGATCCCTGAATCCTCCATTCAGGAAATTTAATTTAGGGATCAAAATCCCTTCAGATTTTTGAACTGAAATGTTTTCACTCCAAAAATCAGTGTATTTCTCTACTTTATGTATCCATCATCACACACACAAGGTTTCATTTTAAAAAATAAAGCACCAACATGACCTCAGTTGTGATCCTCTGTCATGCTATACACTGCCCACAGTCTTAGGTCTATGATCACACACCACTGCTTGGGCACTGAGCAAGCTACAAGAGTTTTCACTGTGTGGGTTTGAGAGCCCCTCCTACGTTCAGGAACAGCAATACGCAGCAGGGGGACTATGTGGACTGCAAGGAAGGACAATTAGTCCCTCTAGCCTCATCCAAGCAAGAGAGCAACATCACCATTTGCAGAGGAATGGACGAGCACAGGAAAACCAGTTATTCTTACCCCCCATGGCTTCAAAATGAACTTTTTAGCTAACCACCTGCTAGACTTCTTGCAGCAACAATACTGAGCAGTGCAAGTCCGAGTGAAAACAACTATTACAAGGAGCATTTCCAGTCAGTGGCTATTTTGTTTTAAATCAAGCTGAGGGGTATGCTAGAGTTAACCATAGCTAACCAACAGAACAACTTGAAAACAGTGAAGCATCACTACAAAGCAGCTTCCAACACTTGACTAGCTGTGTAAGATGATGTGAACCTCATGTCAACCACTCAGCTTGACAAGCTTATATGCTGGTGCAGACAGAATCCTTACATCCCTGGATACAATGAAAAAAAAATAATCATTAATACTGGGATCAACCCATTGTTCATTAATCCACAGTCAGTTCAAGACTAACTACAATTCTTTGAAGAATTCTATGAAAACTTTCAGATGCAAGAAGACTTCTTGTGTTTATGCTTCTAAATGCTACCTCCAGCTGCCATGATTTTCAACATGAGTGACCAACAGCTGACAGCTAGAGAAACTTGGCCTTATGAAGGAATTTGAGCTCTAATGGCATTTTGCAGGGATATTGTTGTTTTGGTGGAATGCCAAAACAAAAAGCACTAGAACTAAGGTTTCATCATCACTTCTTCCCTCCCCAGTATCAACAAGATGTTGCCAGCATCCTGCACTTACAGTTCCTTTTAAGCAACTCCTGCTCACAGATGTTACAATCATTCCTCCTAGATCCTGTTCCAAATAACAAAAGGATGAGCCACTGCTGCAAACCAAATTCCTTTCATCACCAAAATCACAGGCTTCAAAAATGTAAACTGAAGAAGTCCTTTTAACTTTTCAATCCTAAAAAAAAGCACTGACATCTTTTAGATAGAAATACTTCTGCTTAATATGCATATCTTGCATAATTAACTTCATTAATAAAACCAAGATGATACACTCAACTCCGAATTTCAAGTCACACTGTTACTATCATCCAAGGCAAAGTAAGAAGAATCTAGGGATGTGCAGAACTAAAAAAGCTGCTTACTACTGCATGCACTGATAACACTAAGACCTGCACCAAATTTAGTGCCCTGCCATACCGTGGGGCAAGTACAAATTGATCTACCATCCTAATCCAATATGGGGCTGAAAAGAATATGAATCATCTTCATGTCACATATGAGCAACAGAAGTAGAGGTATCAGGTGACTGGTCATCACAGAAACTTGAGACTAGAGTGTGTTTTTCTTGAGCTCATTATCACGTCAAGGCAAAGCTGTCTAACTTCCTGTGTACTGTGTTCAGTAATACAGTAACACAGAAAAGATCTGATACTATATCGCATGCAATATGCTATCCTGCAAGGTAAAGCCTCTCAGTTTCCCTCATGAGGCAATCAGGTAACAAAATGGGTCAAAGCAACTTAGCATTTCTCATTAAATCACTGGCAATACCACATCACAGAATCACAGAATCAACAAGGTTGGAAAAGACCTACAAGTCCAACCATCCACCCATCGCCAATAGCTCTCCCTAAACCATGTCCCTCAACACAAAATCCAAACGTCCCTTGAACACCTCCAGGGTTGGTGACTCCACCACCTCCCTGGGCAGCCCCATTCCAGCACCCAACCACTCAGAGAAGTAGTATTTCCTAACATCCAACCTGAATCTCCCCTGGCACAACTTGAGGCCATTCCCTCTAGTCCTATCACTGGTTATATGAGAGAAGAGGCCAATCCCCATGGCACCACAACCTCCCTTCAGTTACAGAGGGTGATAAGGTCTCTCCTGAGCCTCCTCTTCTCCAGACTGAGCAATCCCAGCTTCCTTAGCCACTTCTTGTAAGGCCTGTGCTCCACACCCCTCAACCAGCTTTGTTGCCCTTCTCTAGACATGCTCCAGGGTCTCAATGTCCCTTTCTTGCACCAAGAAAATCACCAAGCTACCAGAGAATAGCTGCCACCAAGACGAAGTAATAAGAATGAAAGATGAAGGATTTCAGAAGCAGACATTTGATTTCACATTCCTGGCTCTCCCACTGACCATTTATACAGCTTGAGTAAAATAAAAAAGCAAACACTTGTTATGTTTTGTCGGATGTATTGAGTATGGACCAAGATGTTGCACTTTAAAGAACTCAACAAATTCACACAGCGTATTATGTACCAAGTCAGTGACCTTCCTTGGCACCTCTACGATTACTCAGATGAATGATCAGACTCAAGAGAGTCATTTGGAGGATGTGTCTCCAAATCAGCTGAGATAACAGACCCTTAAAAAAAACCTGGCATCTGGGGATATCTGGCAGGATCTCTATCGACCTCACAAAACTTGAGTTAGTAGAAGGGCATTTCTTTCTCAGAGGACAATAAGGATTGAATGAATTGTTAAGCACGCACTCACCCCAAAAAATCTGTAAAAGGATAGTAACCAAGTCAGGACACAGACTGCCAAAACTCATGGTGATAAACAAAGAAATAATTATAAATAAAGAATGACCAGAGAAAACAAGATTCCCCCCCACCGTGTCACAATGCAGCTGTCAGATATTCTCTAGAGACACATGCATCAGAAAACTTGCCTTAGGTAGAATTATGATTTAGCAAAACAGAGACAATAACAGATTAAAACTTTAATTTAAAACTTCGCCAACAAAATGTGATTACAAAAAGGGAAATTATCTGTACAAAATAAGAAAGGAGGTACTCATTTAGCAAGAGACTGCCATTCTCAGTGTACACTAGAGGACAAACAGTGCTTCAGGTCAAGTGGCAAGCGAGAAATGAATTAAGTGAATTTACAATATGGAATTCTGTAGTGAATCTTCCATACCAGCCATGTAAATCGACTTGAAGCAGCTCAGAAGCAAATCAGGACTCATTAAAAGTGTATCTTCCTTGCAAATCCCTTTCCTCTTAATTTACAGAAGGTGGATGCACTACAGCTGAAAACAGTGCAACCCACAGGGCCAGGACAATGACTCTTGCCATGTTTCCTCCCACTCGTGCCCCCTTTATGGCCTTCTGTAAAAAGATGTGCAACTTGAGTGTACCAGAATTTAAGCTGAGTCACAACCTACTGCATCTTCACTTAGCAGTTAGCTCCTGACTCAAGAAGACAAGGTATCAGCCTGGAGACAGTGATGTGATTATTATAACCAAGAACATCAGCTGCATCACGACTCCTATAAAACTGATGGTTCTGAAACTTCTGAAGTTAGCATCAAATAACAGGTGTTGGTCAACAACAGATTAGTATTTACAACACTGCAGCACTCTTTCCCGCCCACCACTGTACATTAAGACAGAGACAAGAGCATCTTTAAAACTTACAACTATATAGGCAAAAATGGCAGGTGATTTCCAAACTCCCAAGTTCCTGTAATTCAAAGCACATACTGTGACTCTTATCACTTTTTTACATTCGTTCACATGCCTGATCAACAAAAGGGAGTTGCAATAAAGTAATGGAGCATGCATATTTTTCAGGCAAGCTGGCTGAAATCTTCTAACCAGTTTCACATCAAATAGTATTTACAAGTTTATCAACCTTCATAATCCAGATTTAGTAAAGGGGGGGAAAAAAACAAGTAATAAAATTGTTTTGGCCCAGATTCACATACTTACTTGTAGATACCTGAGATACGCAAGTTGGAGCAGAACAGCCTTCTGTGTCCTGCCTACCCAGTAAAATGGAAAACACTAAAAGTCTTTGGAAGTTCAAAGACTCCAATCTCATCCTAGAAAAGTGACAGTACTCCTTTTTCTCCGCTATAGGAAAAAAAAAAAATGATAACTGTATTCCAACTTACGAGTCTTGGTTGAATTTCGCACAGTTGCATTGCTAGCTTAAGCGTTATTCACTTGACCTTAAGCATTATTTTTTTTCCACTAGCAGCTATGACCCAAGAACACTGTGGGGTGCCCACTTTTTAAGAATCCTATGAGAGATGCACGAGTCCTCTTCACCACTGGAAAAACTGAGATAAGTAATGTGTGCTCAAATTCATAAGGTGAGAAAGTAGCTAGTCAGCATTACAGCTTCCTGGATCTCAGCCCTGTGCTCTGTCTACAAGAATCCAGTACTAGGAAAACTACTGTACAGAATCATTCCCTCTCCATGTCAAAAAGATTCACCAGAAAAACTGAGATACTAATAAACCGTGTACAGTTCCTCATTCAACAATGAAAGAATCCTGTAGTAAAAAAAAATAATAACCTATTATATCTTTAACCTGGAAAAGTTTATTTCCAGCTTTGATTCTCTGACCTCTTAAAGCTTTTAAGAAAAAGTTGTAGATTCAGTTACTATAAACATAACGCTGCACTGAGTACCCTTTATATTAACCACAGTATGCTACATTTTCTAGTTGTAAGTTACTGTCTGTAATACCCGATTTTACAATCAAAATAGAAAGCCAGAAGCCAAGAACTTAGAAGATCTCAGGAGAAGAAAAAAAATTTCAATTGTGTGAATATCTGCAACTGCCATTTGAAATGAAAGCCCTCTTATTCTTAGTCTTGCACATCTCATGCTGCATCGGGTTGGACATATGCTGCATGACAAGAGAAAACTGCTCTCAAAAATACAACTTAATAATGGAAACAAACATTTGCACTTTACTTCATGAATGCAGCACAAAAATATCACTTAATGTTTCGAAAGACCCCAGGACTTAAGCACAGCTATGGAAAAAAAATCAGCTTCCTAGACATTAGGGTTAGTTTGATCCATCTGTCATACACTGAATTCTTGACCAACAAAGCTTTTAACAGGCAAGACAGAACATCAGTATATTTTTCCATCACAGCACAGAACAAGATGGCAAAAATGGAAGCCTGTTGTGACAGACAGACAAGACTGTACAAAGGCAGCTTATTTTTAATGGCAGAATCAAGTCTGACACTACTGGCTAGCCTGGAGTAAGATCTATGTTTTCCCTTCTGAACATTTTTCTTAATTTTCTCTTGCACCAGAAAAATTGTTTCAAAACAGTAAAATCCCACAGCACTACAGAGAGCTCAGTTCTTTAGCAAGCTCTGCACCAGGAAGGATCAATCCTACAAGCAAATAAAACCAAAGAGTTGCTGTTTCCCAAGGGCAGGAGGAGTTTTTTCACTGGTCACCCAGCCGGAAACCTTGACCCCAGTTGTGTCTTCCACCACCCTGCTGATCTTCTGCAGCTCTTCTCATGCTAGCAGGTGGGATACCAAACCCTGACACTCCTCCTCTCCTGTTTGGCAGCCAGCGGTACCTAGGACAAGCCAAAAGAGAGAGTTTGAGAAAGAGTTGTATCTTGGGAGTAATTACCAGAATACTCTCCTATGCACTCCTTTTACCTGCTAGGCTTTGCAATAAAACTACTTTTTGAAAGCAGTACCTCACAGAATTCTTTTACTGTACTGAGGGCTTAAAATTGGAAAGAGGAACTCTGGGGAGCATGCACCTTTAGGATATGTTCATATATAATAATCCAAACAAAGGGAAAAGATGCATAATACGAATTGACTCACTGTTGAGAATAAACACTGTGATATAAACTTGATTCCCTGAACTCCTTTCCCTTTTCCCCCCGAAGAAGTAATAAAAAAAATCCAAATTAATTCTGAGCATCTCTCTCTCCAACTGTTACAAAGCTACAATTATCTCACTGCTCTCTAAATAACCCATCCTGAGGAACTGCAGACCAAAGGCTCTAAGCACCTACTTTGATTAAGTCAAAGTTTAAGTGACCTGGACAGCACAAACTGGGGCTGTAAGACCACATCATCCAACTCAGACCACCACTGAAATGTAATGACCTAAAATACAGCTTTTCTGCAGATGTCAATCCAGGGTGCTATCAACGCAGAGTTGCTTCAGCTCTATAATAAATAGTTAGCTATAGCTCCTGTGAGGTGCAACTGTAATTCAACTTTGCATCTTCTAACCTTCTTATAGGGCAAACCTTTAACTTACCACATCGCTAACTGAAGCTTGGTAGAGAAAGAATATTTACAGCTCAAATGGATGTGGTCACAAGGAATTGAAACTGCAGTCCTTGGCTTCTGATTTTAATATTCCAGTGCCAAAACAATGAATAGGTTACAAAAAGAGCACTTCAGAATCCAAGACTTGAATTCTCAGCCAGGGTTACTGATACCAACTGCAGAGCAGATGCATATAAAGGCACCCAACAAATCTACAACCGATTTCTGTCATTATGTATTGCTTAACTGGTAGTTACTGTAATGATACATGGAAATAGAGAAAAAGGTTGTTTACAGGAAAAAATAATTTAAAAAGAATCCGATGGATACTGTTTGATAATTGGCAGGGAGGTTTCTTTGCTACTGTTTAATTCACTAGGAGAGGCACAGGTTTTCCTCTCACTCTCAAGAGTGGGTATGGAACACAAGTAATCCATTGGGAAAACAAGGAACACTGACCATCTACAAGAAAAAAAACATTTTGATGACTCAATCTGTACACAATAGCACAGCCTTTAAATACTGAAGCACGTTCATTTAACAAAATATTTTACACTCTGCAATCCCAGAAGATATACGTCCTTATAAACAATCCAGAAAACTGGCCCAAATAAACAGTGAGCTATAGTATAAAGTCAGCTTACAAGAATTGAGGTGTGGACAGAAAATTCCTTCCTCCCAGATCCATTGGATATTTAAACATTAGGAAGAAATACAGGTGTCCAACCAGATTTCCTATGAGCTCATTGATGACTCTGCAAGGAAAAAGAACAAGCACAGTTTTGCAGGCTGTTTTCCCCAGAAATAAAGGAGTACTCATCTTCTGCCAGTTACTATTGTTCACCTGCCACAGGCACTGCCAGCACCGTGAACCACAGAAATTTCCCTTCCCTCAGCATTTTGCAACCACTTCTTTAGAAGGGCCAGCATTCAGTGCCAATGCATCCACAGGCTGTTCCAGCCTCCCTTCCAAGCACTCTCACAGACTGTACTGAAAATGCAATTAAATGCTTGTTTACTGCAGAGAATTAGACCGTATAGCCATTAGTGTCCTAAAATAATAGTTGGTAGAGCTTGAGAAGTTATTGCTGTTTTTGCTGGACAACCTGTCTCCTGCTGTACTGTTTTGTTCCTAATTTTGCAGGAACACTGCTGAATGGAGGCCCTTGAGTATTTTCTGTCATGCATAGAAACAGCAGGTATCTAGCAAGCAGCCTTCTCAAGTAACGGATGAGTCAGTAGGAGGCACAGCCAGAAAAGGGAATTGGTTTTGCCCTATTCCCATCTCCTCCTTTTATAAATCAACCATGCAACTCGCTGTTGTCACTGTGTTACAGCGGCACCAAGTGGCCACAGCCAATACTGGGCACTAATAGGAAACTGCATACAGAGATCTCTGCATCACTGTTTGCTCAGAGAAATGCCAAACAAGCCAACAGAGACAGAAAGTGCTAATATGGCACTCCACAGGCTTGCAGTCGCCATTTCTTCGTGTTTTGCATGCTGATAAAAGCAGCACATTGGATGAGATTCTGATGGAAAGAAGAAACACCACTTAGAAGATTCAAATTATGTTTGTTCCCAAAATCAGCAGTAATGGCTGGTCTTACAGGATGAAATCTTTCTTTACTGGGCATTATGCTCTTAGTAAGGAAATGGCCAAATGCACAGATCTACCAGACCAATCAAATTATTACTATTTTCTCCTCACCTACGTTCTCTAGCTCTCATGTCCACATCTCCTCTTTGCATTACCTTAGACAATCACCATACAACACTGACCAGGATCAGACCAATTATACAGCTTTGAGCCTCTTATTTTAGTAATGCTGCTGATGAGTGACAAGAGAGAGCTGTAAAAGACTTCATAACTTCAAATAGGTCTTATCTGTAAATACATACGATCCTCCAATGATGTAGTTGAATCCCAGAATAACCCATGGAAGGTAACAGGCCTGAAAAAGAACAGGGATACATAAATTGTATGTGCAAGTGTGGAATTTGAACCTGCTTAAAATCCACTGCACTGCTAAGTATGATTAGACTCCTAATGTTTTACCACTGCACAGATCTTGTTATATTAACTTAAGTAGATTACAACCAAAAAGCTGGATACTCTAACCTGAGCAACCGCTAATGTGCGGACAAATCAAACTTGCCATACATCTTCTGCCATCTACATTCCATGCCCATCTGAAACAAAATCCTAATATTTCTGAATTTAAGAGGGTCTGGAAAAAACAATCAAAAGAGTTTTCATCACAAGACCTGGCAGAAACAAACCAACCTGCACAGGAAAGAGTAATTTCAAAACATTTTCTCAATACTGTTCAGCTTTTAGTTGGATTTTCCCTCTTTTGTTCAGACCAATGAATTTCAGTTGTCACTCATTAGAGTGGCTTTACTGAAGAGATGTCCTCACATAATATGGAAGACAATGAAGAGAACTGTCTTTGTTGCATCTCAAGGAGTATATATCTTCATGAAAGCATAGGACATCCTTAATTGGAAAAAATACTTCCATTTTGTCCCTCATTGCCTTTGTAAGCATATTCAAGGCAGAAACCTTTCCAATAATACGATTTACCTTAAATCTTGTTCCAAACCAAAACGATACAATCATGTCTCTGTTCAGCTGGGCCCACACATAAAGAACAGACATGATGAGCGGAATCATCAGCAACTGCAATGTTAAAAAGACAAAAAGTTACCGTCGATTTCACAGAAGTCTGAGAAATTTCAACAGGCACCAGAAGTTCTAAAGTTTAAAAGCATGATATATCATCAAGTCTTGAAAGATTGCCTCAGAATGTTCACCACGTGCCATGCATCTGCACACAAGATCAGAAAGCTAAGCAAGAGAACACAGACATTCTCTTTTGCTGTGCTGGAAAATATTCTTAACGAAGACAAGGTCCCCATTAGGTTACAGTCTAAGACAGCTTTGGTGAGCATGTAAGCCCAAACAGGTGGTGCAATTCGTGATAAGGTACAAAATTACCAAGTCACATACTAAAAATAGGTTTGCCCTGAGTGTCTGACCAAACATTACTTCTCCTCACTTCTAACACGTGCAGTCCATGCTTCAGGGTAGCAGCAGCATCACAAGACCAAGACTCCAAAGCAACTACGTGGAACAATAAGCACTGGTCCCAGCTCCTGGTACCCCACCTACAGCAACCAGCACCGTTTGTGCCACAGTCATCTCCATGTACGATCCAAGGCACAACCCAAACACGTACTCATCTGAGACTACTCTAACATGCCAGATGAAGGGCTCCTGCACATAATTTCCAGTCCTGTGTCTCTCAGACCACCACCGAGGGGAGGTGTGCCAGCAAACCACCACTGTGAAGTACCACAGCCAGGCACGGCAAAATTACCTTGGTAGAGCTTGGAGTCAACCTCTGCTCCATGTGAGGAGAGTCTTTCAAATACTTACACAACTGTGCATGAGCTGATGGGATTATTTTTGGTGAAACAAATAGAATATTCTATTGCAGCTGTCTGCTGATTTCTAAACTGGAGAATGCACCATCAATAGTACAAAACAGCCTGAGTGATTGGAAGAGAAGATAAAGCACACTCCTTCAAGAGTGGTACAGTCAACAGGTTCCACTGAAAGCAGCCTTTCCCAAGTTATACCAGCACTTTGACTCTCCATACCAACACCTTAGGTTCATTATTAAAATGTTTTTTATTTCACTGAAAAACAGTTTCTGAATGTAACTGAAAGGGAGACCAGTTGTCCTACTCTATAATCTAATTTTCCAAGCAAGCCACTCAACACAAGGGAAAACTCCATTCTAACAAAAACACATTTATATCCCAAACAACCTTCTTTTAAGCAATATTTTGTGAACAAATTTAAAAAACATTTTATCTTTCTTTTTTTAACAAAAAGATACAAATCAATGCAGTCAGTCTAAAATTTCTAAAATGTGATTTCAGCACTCTTTTGTAAATAAAAAAAAAAAAAAAAAAAAAATTGGATCCTTCTCTATAACAAAAAATAAATAAAACAAAGTAAATGTAAAATTATTAACAGCCCTAAACTGAAGTAAATCCTGATTGCAAATGCACGATTGCTATGTCTATCTATGAAAGGAGCCTAAGGAACAATCTAATAAACACTAAGGTAATCTTGTGGAGAACTGGGGATATTGGTGTGAGCTTCATGTGATGGGAACAGAAATAAGATGAGGATAACAGCAAAGATGCTGAAGACATGCAGTTACCTGACACAACTGCATTCAAGAAATGTTTCTCTTATTCCCTCCATTTTAACATTTGGGCAGAAAAGAACTCCCTCACTGAAGCTGGTCCTTCAGTCTGCTATTTAATCATTCCTGTGAGCATTTTGCACTTCACAGTTCTGATATGAATCTGAAGCTGCATTTTGTACAATAAAGTCTTCAGTCAGCAAATGAAAGGAATGAATTTGAGAAGACTAACCTAGGAACCACATTTAACTAGAAGAGTCAAAATACAGAAACACAGTCATTAGAGGAAACTGTATGTATATATATATACAGCCAAAATATTTTGATATAAACTAAAATAACCTAGCTTTAACTGTGTTCTGTGGTCATGTGGATAACACTGCCTGTAAGGCTGGTAAATAGCAAGAAAACCCAAGCATATTACCTAAAAAAGCTGCACTGCACTTACCTGCATGTCCATTGCCAAGCCAGTTATCTGCCATTTTACCATTAAGGAAAGAGCAGCAGACAGACAAAAAGAAGCTATGAACAGAATGCATTTAGCAATTCACAAACACACAGCATGGCACCAAGGTTTTGCCTACATCGTGCATTCAGCTTGCTCCCTTACACCACGTATGGAACAAGCACTTGGAATCTTTCAAAATGACGAGTCAGAAAGTCAAACCAGTAGATTCATCTCATAGTCCACAGCCAGCAGACAATAACCACAGTAATGCAGATGGCTTTTTAGCAACACAGGTTGTTTTCCTAGTTACAGCTGTGGCTCAACAGGACTAGCAGGAATTCCCTCCATGCAGTGGAATGTGACTAGAGATGGTTAATCTATTGATAAGAGGTGGCATTTCTACATAATAGTTTTACAATAGTTTTCTTGACTGCATCTTGTTTACATTGGTGTTAACATTCCCTCTTTCCTACATATTGTGCCACTGCAAATTGCTGCAAGGAGGCTGGGAAAAGCACCAACAGAACAGGAATGGCTCCAAGGATGGAGGTTCCAAAACCTCACCATACAACCTCTGACATCTGATCAGTGCCGCAGTAAAAAGGTTATTTCTTGCATCTAAATAGAAAATCTGTTTCATTTCGTGCCTGTTTTTTTTTCTCATCACCAAGGATGAGAGAAATCTGCCTTTTCCTTTACTCCCTCCCCCATCAGGTAGTATCCATACGGATGAGATATCCCTAAACCTTCTCTTCTCCTGGCCTGAACAGTCCTAGCTCTCTCTGCTTTTCCTCATGTGACATATGCTTTTGTTCCTTAATCTTCACAGCTCTTCACTGGAGCTGCTCCAGTACATCCAAGTCTCTCTTGTACTGGAGAAGTACTGAAAGTTCTGCATCTCTTATAGCTGGGCTGCATGCAGCCCCTCAGTCTTCCCACCAAAGCTGAGCAAGAGCCTTTCCCCTGCGGGAAACACGTTGCTCAGTGCAGCCCAGGAGGCACTCAGCCACAAGGGCACATTCCCAACTTACAGTCAAACTGGTGACCACCAGCACCTCCAAGTCCTTTTCTGCAAAGCTGCTTTGCAAACACCAAGCCCCCAGCCTCTTCTAGTGCACGAGGCTGCTCCCCATGGGCTATACTGAGCTTCATGAAATTCCTGATCAGCCCATTTCTCCAGCCTGTCAAGATACCTGTGAATGGCAGCACAACCATCTGGTGCAACAACTCTCAGTTTCTTAACTGAGATCTAATGAAAATTCAGGTAGAACAGCACAGCTCAGGGCTGTTCCCAGCATTCCTAGACCAACAAATCCAGCTTCTTCAGGAAGTCTGCCAGAGAAGCTATTACAACACTGCTCTCACAGCCTTAGCTGCCTTCTCCCAGCAGGTAAGGGCTCTTTTTGCAAGGTACCCCTGAATTCCACTGAAGATCACTATTAGGTCTCCCTGGAGCTTTCTCTTCTCCAGGCTGAACAGCTCCACCTCTCTCAGCAAATTACAAACTTGTGTCAGTACATACATTAGCATTCTCCTGCAAGCCACCTGTTACCTTTCCAAGAAGACAGAAGCTTACAAACATTTCTACACTTTAAAACTTAGTTGCTAAGAGCTGGTCTTTAAGACAGAAATCAGAGAACCAAAATACTTCAAAAGATGAACAGAAGGATACAACAATGCAGATCCAGTTAAACAGAAGCATGAACATGTAATCTGCAGGTCTTCCATCAAAAGCCCCTGTAAACAGAAAGAATTGTTAGGGATGGTACAAACTTATAAGAAATTACAAATCTACCTTTAAAAGTTTTAAGAAATCTTCAACAAATAAGAGTTATTCTACATACCGTCAATGGCTTATGATTTTTAGTTTTTAATTTTTAGAAGTCTTAGAACAACAATAGGAAGCAGAACAACAATAGGAAACAGAACAACAATAGGAAACAGAACAACAATAGGAAGATGTACTTACACAGCAAAAGCACAAATACAAAGTTTAACAATCAAGTCATGTGAAAACCAGTCCAGTTAAGCAAATCATGTCCTCCTTACATTACCAAGATGGTTTTACACTCCAGAAAGTTACTATACTATGACAGACATTACACATGCATTCAGTACCTTCTTCCAAGAAGAAACACTTGCCTAATTTCCCATTCCAAATGGGTGTCAACATTTTCCAGGACAAAAAAAAAAAAAAAACAACCAACCAACAAACAAACCAAAACAGCAACATTCCCTGCAGATGATATAACATTAAATTACCTTTAGATGCACAGATGAGTTTATGACCTGGCAAAGAGAGGAGTTAAAAATACAAAACTGCCAAGTCTGGTAAGATGCTGGCAGAATCCTCAGCATCTGAGCTGAATTCCTATCAACCTTCATATAACTTCATTCAGGCAAAAAATACCCAGGAATACTGCTAACACAGACCCACAACCCAGCAGCAAAAAATTCATCACAAAAAAGCAGATTTCACAAAATCACCAAGGCTGGAAAAGACCTACAAGATCACCCAGTCCAACCATCCACCTATCACCAACAGTTCTCACTAAACCATGTCCCTCAACACAAAATCCAAATGTTCCTTGAACACCTCCAGGGCTTGTGACTCCATCACCTCCCTGGGCAGCCCATCCCAGTGCCTGACCACTCTTTCAGAGAAGTAGTATTTCCTAATGTCCAGCCTGAATCTTCCCTGGTGCAGCTTGAAGCCATTTCCTCTAGTCCTATCACTGGTACATGAGAGAAGAGGCCGACCCCCAGCTCACTACAACCTCCCTTCAGGTAGTTACAGAGAGCAATGAGGTCTGCCCTGAGCCTCCTGTTCTGCAGACTGAACAATCCCAGCTCCTTCAGCCGCTCCTCATAAGTTCTGTGCTCCAGACCCCTCACCAGCTTTGTTGCCCTTCTTTGAACCAGCTCCAGGGCCTCAATGTCTTTCTTGCAGTGAGGGGCCCAAAACTGGACACAGAACTCGAGGTGCGGCCTCACCAGTGCTGAATATAGGGGAACAATCACCTCTCTGCTCCTGCTGGCATCACCGTTTCTGATGCAAGTCAGGATGCCATTGGCCTTCTTGGCCACCTGCACACACTGCTGGCTCATGCTCAGCTGAGCATCAATCAATACTCCCATGTCCATTTCCTCTACAGTCTTCCAGCCACTCTGCCCCAAGCATTGCCTGGGGCTGTTGTGGCCAAAGTGCAGGACCCGGCATTTGGCCTTGTTGAACCTCATCCCATTGGCTTCAGCCCAGCTCTCCAGCCTGTCCAGATCCCTCTGCAGAGCCTCGCTACTCCCAGGAGGATCAACACTTCCAGCCAACTTGGTGTCATCTGCAAACTTACTGAGGGTGCACTCAATGTCCTCATCCAGGTCTTCATTAAAGATACAGAAGAGCACAGGCTCCAACACTGACCTCTGGGGAACACCACTTGTGACCAAATTTATACATTAAACTTTTGACTTCTGATTTACACACTAAAACATCCAAAAAGACAGAGTGCCACTGCTTAATCTTAGCACTTTGTGGCTTCCTGTATCTGTTTCACATTATTCGAGTTTAGCCATGCATGTAACACAACAGGTGGGAAAGAAGAAAGAAAAAACTTTAAAAAACTATTTGGGCAAGTTTGATATTTGAAGAACAACATAAAACTGAATTTTCTCCTCACTGTTGCCATACAACAAGCCAGTGAAGTGCTGCAGACTCACAGTCCCATTGTTCATACTATTGTGAACTCCACATACTCCCACTACTGTTTCTCTGATTAAATTTGTCATGTTCTTCTCCAATGGAAACAAACAAAAAACACATCAATCTCATTTCCCTCAGGAAACTAAACATCAGCTTGTTAGGAAGACAAGTACAATATAAAACCACATGGATTTTTGTCCCCCAGTTAAATCTCCTCCCCTTTAACTTTGAAGTTACTATGCAACACCTGTGTACTCTCAAAACTCACATGCAACTCTGAAAATAATAATCTTTATTCCTCAGTTTAGTAGAAAATCTATGCCAATGTCAACCTGTAAACATATTACCAGGAGTTTACACACTTTGCACTATCAGAAGTGCAGAAGGATCCAAGAATTTTTTGTAGAAAGACTGACATAATCAAGAACTTTATACCAGAAAATTTACTGTTAAAATATGGTGAAATGCTTTGTTTCACACCACAGAACCACAGCTGACTTCCCAGTTTCAAAATACATGTATGTAGTGCAGGTATGTAAATTTATTGTTGAAATATCTGACTTCTTTCCAAGAGACTTCTGCCACAGCACAACTAGCACATATATATATATATATATATATTATTATTTTTTCTTAAGAATATGTCCAAGCAGTGATGTCTTATAATCCCCTATATTTATCATGAACTCTCATTCCATATAGCTTTGCACAATTGAATGTCATAACTGTCTTTACTCACTTACAAGCATGTGTTTATAACCTTCCACCAACAGACAAGGAACCACTTCTAGTTACTAAACTACTACTACTTACTTTAGTTAAGAAACAACCAAATACAATACTGCACCATGGCCACACTCCTTTATTCCCCTGTTATTCTTCTTATGACTCAAAAGGTATCCCACAAGATTCTCCGGAAGACAGGTTGATAGGGGAGCTCCCTACAGCAGGTTTTCCCTAATTCCCCCCCATCTTGCAGTGCATTTCCACTTCAACCATCAGCTTTGGGATTCCGTTAGTTAATTAATATGACTCTTTTTTCCATTGTCTGATCTGCCTTCTACTCTCAAAAACCAACTCGTTCCTTAACTTTTCACATTTCTATTTGACAGAAGACTATGCTTCATTTGTAGAGGATCTCTCTCAATTCGGAATATCCTACAGAAGAATACAAGTAAGAATCTTTGCCTTTAAAAAAGAGAAAAAGCAACATCATTATTTCCTCACGAAAGATACCTGTTATTACATACGCTGCATCACACTTTGATATTAATAGACATCAGACATATGGAAACAGAAGTGAAACTATCTTTCAGTCTCTCTTTCACTTCCTGATATCTGACAGCTAGAAGCAGCAGGTCCTCCTGCAGAAAGGATCCTAACTGAACAGGCTCCCTGCCCCAGAGAGGCAGCCATAAAGTTTTCAGAGCAGTTTCTCCTTGGACTGACATAAGAAGGCACAGAGATGAGCCCTATTCCTCAATTCTTTCTGAACCAGCCACAGTTCCCCCAAACAGTCCCAGCAGGAGCTCTGTCTGGCAGTGCTAGGACTCCATTAACAATTTACCATTTGCATACAACAATAACGGACAACATACCTGTTTCTAAACGTGATGAATATTGATACAGGAAATACAAATTCACCAAGTAGAGAAAACCTGTTCCAGGTCCCACTGGGAAGAAGAAAGTTGCCGTTATTGGCCGCCAGATCTGTACAAAGAAAAGGACATTTATACACTGCAGAACGAGATCATATACACACGGGTTATTACCTTTCATTTGCTAACAATTAACTGGAAGATTAAGAACTAGATTAAAAATAGCCCAAGTATCACCTACCGCTGCTTCAGCAGCCTCAACAGTTGCTTCTTAATTTGATAAGCAAATCCATTAAGATTACAACAGAAATCCCACACAATTTTCCCAAGCGCTTCCATCACACCCACACAGCACCAAATCTTCACCGCAGCGCAGAAGGGATCTGCTTGCAGGGATCAGACCCCATTTTAAAAGGGGTACAGAATCCACTCTGACCTGGAGGTTGCACAGGAGGAGCTCCCACAGCAACCTTCAGTGTGCATCTGCAGACAGCACAAGGTGCTTGGAACATTTGCGAGGCTCCTGAGAGTCTCTCAACCATCAGCACTGGGCACAGCTAAGTGCAGGGCAGCACACAGCCAGGACAGAAGGTGACTGCCTATTTTCAATGGGCATGAACACCTTCAACGGGCCGTGTAAATAGTGCATCAGAATGCTGAGTGTCACATTTCCATTGTAGAAGTGCAGAAAACTGTGAGGTATTAACTTTTGTGGACGGCAGGTGAAGCTAACAGACGGCTGTTCTGCTTTTCACTCGAGCAACAATGCAGCCACGTACAGAAATGTAAAGGAACCTCCTCAACAGAAACCACGAAGATGAGGCCACGGAGTTATGCCAACTCCAAGCTCCACGGCCTTCCCGCCCACACAGGGTGCCAGGGGGGCCGTGTCACCTTGCCGGCCGCACTGCCCAACCGGTCCGCAGCCGGGCGCAGGCCAGGGCAGCGAGGCACGGCCGCTTTCCTGCTGCGAGGAGCTCCGCCCGCACCCCGCACTACAATTCCCAGCATGCCGCGCGCGCTCGGCCCAGGCTAGCCGCGGTGACGGCGCCGCAGAGCACGCCGGGACCAGTAGTGTGGCCCGTACCTGGAAGCGGTTGATGAAAGCGTCGGGCCAAAGGAAGAGGTAGACGGGGCTGACGAGACCCAGCTTGCCGATCAGCGGCACCGCGATGGAGCCGGCGAACCAGTAGCGGGTGATGAGCGGAATGCTCCGGAACCAGTCCCCCAAGTCCGACATGTCGCAGCCACCGTCGCCGCCGAGGACTCACAGGAACCGACGGCTGAGGGAGAGACGAGAGCAGCGCCGGAACGGCACAGCCCCGAGCCAGACGTGGCGCCGCCGAGTTCGGCCGACTCGCGCACTTCCGGCCCCGCCCCCAGCTGCCTTGAGAACTACAGCTCCCGGCATGCTTCGCGCTCGATTCGGGCTGATCCATTCCACTCTGGAAGGGGGGGGAATCTCCCGCCTTCTTCCCGCCGCTCTCCGTCAGCACGGGGGAACAGGGCTGTACCACGTGTGCGGCGCCCCCCGCGGCGGCGGCCGTTGAGGGAACCCCGAAGGGAATCGGCAAGCGCGGGAGCGGCGGCGGCCGAGGATGCCGAGCTGCGATCTGGGCAGCCGGGAGCAGGGCTCCATCTGGCACCGCAAACCCAGCCCGGCGGCACGGGGCGGGTAACGGCGGGGCGGGGAGAGGCCGAGGGCACGGAGGAAAATGATCGGAGGGTGTTTGTCGGGCGGCGTTTGGCTGAACATGAGCCAGCGCTGTGCCCGGGTGGCCGAGGAGGTGCACGGCGCTCCGCATTGTGTCAGCAGCACGCGGCAGCTGCAGCGGGGAGCTTATCTCTTCTGTACTTGGCTCTGGTAATGCTGCACCTCGAGTGCTGCGTTCAGTGCTGGGCCCCTCGCTGCAAGACAGACACTGAAAGCCTGGAGCGTATCCAGAGAAGGGCAGCGAAGCTGCGAGGGTCTGGAGCACAAATCTTATGGGGACGGCTGAGTTGTTCAGTCATAGAAGAGGAGGCTCAGGGAGGCTCACCTTATTGCTCTCTACAGCTGCCTGAAAGCAGGCTGTGCTGAGGTGGGAGTCAGCCTGTGCTCACAGGTAACAGCGATAGGATGAGGGGAATGGCCTCAAGTTGTGCCAGGGGAGGTTCAGGATGGATGTTAAGAAAAAACTCTTCAGTAGGAGTGGTGAGGCATTGGCACAGGCTGCCCTGGGAGGCAGTGGAGTCGCTGTGCCTGCAGGTGTTCCATAGACATGGAGGTGTGGCACTGAGGGATGTGGTTCAGAGAGCAATGCAGGTGATAGGTGGACAGTTGGACTGATGATCTTAGTGGTCCTTCCCAGCTGTAATGACTCCAGCATTGCAGTAGTTTTTAGCTTGTGGATGTCAAACGTGTCTTGATCAAGTTTTCCTTTTTTTCTTTTTTTTTTTTTCTTTCTCTCCATTAAGAAGATACCATGGCCAAATTCCCACAATAGTTTAACTAAAATATTTTATTAGGAAATATCGGAAGAACACTGTCTGGTCCAAGGGGAAGAGCAGTAAGAATGCTGCTTTTGAGTGCCTATGTGGTGTTTGCCACAGGAAATCTGGGTGCAGCTCCACTGAATTAGTTCAGTGCCAAAGGAGCTCTAGCACGACAGGGAGCAGTGCTGAGGAAGTGCTGGGAGGTACTGGCACGACACTGATGGCCACTTCAGGCTACTTTTAGAATCACAGGTCACGTGATATGTTTTATTGATGTTAATGATACTAACATCACAAACTTGTAATGACAATCTGAACAGCTAATTTGCTTTCCAGTTTCATTTTTATGGCCCTTCCCTCTTCTCCCAGAAAGGAATGGGTGTAGCAGGGCAAAGTGCTATTAGTTTTATCTCTGCTTTGCAGCAATAGCTGCATGGCCATATAGATGTGCATTTGCACTTGGTGTACACACCAGTACCTGCATACAGGCAGTGGTTATAGTGCTCTCCTGGCATTCAGTGACTGAGAGGTATCCCTATCTTACATTAGCATGGCCACAGTATCCAGTATTCCATACAGTTTTAGTTATTTAATCTGACTCTGCATTCACATCCAGGTGATTACAGAAAATAACAGGTTTGCCCAGCAATATCCAAGAAATCCAGGAGCAGCAGATTTCCCAAACCTTAGTGTGCTGCTTTCTCTTACAGCTTTTGCTGCACGTGGGCTTCAGTTCTGCATCTGGCTTTATTTTGTGTCAACAGCATGACAGAATGTGAAAAAGCAGAAACTTTTGTTTCATAATATCTCATATGAACAATGATAAAATGGATTGCTTCATGCTTTTGAAGGCTGGAAGGAAGTGAGGTTAACATGGATTCCCCCACCTCCCAACCTCCTTGCATCTAGATTTTCAGATAGCATGGCTGATGATAAGCCAGCATACAAGTTAGTGTCACGCAATAATATAAATGAAAATCAGGTAGCTAGGAGCTACATAACAGGACCATGAGTGGTGAAATTCCTCCTGCCTGCTTTACTCTCTAGCATTTTTTCAACATAATGAATGATCTCCCTTGTTTAGTATATTTTTTTTTATATTTCAAAGACATATTTTTTATGGAAGATTCCTCACAGAACACTGTGAATGGTTAGAATTGTAAAACAGTAATCTAGGGAGATTTTAATCTTAGGTCTTGGAAAAAATACATGGTTATAAAACAACTCAAAACAATTGTTTTGTCTGCTTTCTCCACAGAGTTGTAAACATATTTCATAGTGCCACAGGATATCATTCCAAGGTGATACGTTTTCTGAATGTGGCTTTTGACAGTTCTGGAGATTCTCTGCTTGCTGGAGACCACCAAGGAAATATTTATGTTTTTGACCTGAATGGAAATAGGTAAGAATGTTTATACAATGCCATTTTAACTGTCCTGATACCTGCAACATTCAGGGGTGTGAAAGTTACCTGTCGCTGTGCCATGGGTTTTTAACCATTAGCTTTCCATGACTGTGCAGATGGTGGTTTTCTCAGAGCTGAAGCTGCAAGCCACTATTTCATGTGGTTCCCTGTGCTATAGTATTAGTTTAGCTGCTGCAAAGGATAAGATCTTTGTAACTAAACTGAACAAACAGCAATTTCATAGAACTTCGGTGATGGAAAACTACCAGAGGAGTTGTGGTGTCAATTAATAATACAAGCAAGGAATTACAACAGCCTAGTATTGTCATTTACAGAAATGCATGCATATCTTTTCAAGTGTGTGCTTTCAACTTAGCACTGCTACCTACACGCAATATACTTTTCTCTTCTTCTTTTGAGTTCATTTTTCTCTGAGTGCAGCATATATTGAAACTGATTAAGGTAATTCCTCACTTGGCATTATGAGCCAAAGCTTCCTAACACAATGAGAACATGTATTTTCAAATAGGTTCAAGCTTGTTCAGCGAACAATGCAGGCTTGCACTGCTTTGGCATTTAATCTTCGCAGAAAGACAGAATTCCTGGTGGCTTTGGCTGATTATTCTGTGAAGTGCTTTGATACAGGTAAGGAGAAATGTAAAGCCTTAATATGTGGATTGTTACTGTCTCATTTAAATTTTGATTTTAGTGTGACAGTTTGCAACTGATTCCGTTTTAAACTATTTTTGCAGTAATACATGTCAACTAATTGACTGTAAACACTGAAATAACTGTCAGTTGTTTTGAGAATGCTGGTAGATCTGTATCCTTATTCAGAAACAGCTTCTAAATATTAACGTCATAGGCTAGCTCTGTGCCTCTGAATGGATTAAATGGGGAAGGGCATTGACAATTCATTTTTTTTAAAGTAACCAATCAGAAATTCCAGCTGTAGTGTCTCGTATTATCTGGGCTTACATCTTTTTAAAAAACTTTAGGAGTCACTTGCCTGCAATTAGAAGGTCTGAGTATGATATTATTGGTGCAGTTTTTAAAGCAACAGTGTTCCCCAAAATAAAGGAAGAGAAGAAAAATAAGGCCTGAAATCCTCTGTGCTTTTTCTTCAAAAATAGTAAGGCCAAACTTAGTTTTCAGGTGCACTTAGAGAAATTTTTCTTACTCAGAGAAATCCTTAGCAGGAAGTTTTTCACACAGAGGGTGGTGAGGCACTGGAACAGGTTGCCCAAGGAGGCTGTGGATGCCCCATCCCTGGAGGCATCCAAGGCCAGGCTGGATGTGGCTCTGGGCAGCCTGGTCTGCTGGTTGGTGACCCTGCACATAGCAGGGGGTTGAAACTAGATGATCATTGTGGTCCTTTTCAACCCAGGCCTTCTGTGATTCTATGATTCATTCTATGATCTCACAGTCCTGCATTTTGAGATAGTGCTGTTTCCAGATACCAAATCACACTGAAGAATGTCTTTGTGTATAGACGTCCTTCCTATAAGTACTACTGGATGGACTATCCTTAGCAAAGTATTAGATAATAGTGAGGGCCATCCCCTAATTTAGAAGCCATTCTCTGTAATCCCATGGTGTGCTCTCATCTGGCAACAGCTTGAAACACTCAAATGTCTGTAAGCACAGCAGAAGGTTTGACTGTTAGTCTCTGTGAGCTGCTTTACAGCCATTTCCCATCTTTGGTGCCATAGCAGTCGATCAGCTGGAGCAACCTCATGGTCAGTCAGGTAAAACAGCTGATGTAAGTAAGTCTTGCCACTAATAGGGTTAGTTGCTGAGGAAAGATTAGTGGTTATGCATTCACAAGTGAGAAATCATGCAGTCAGAGGTACTATTTCCTGAATATGTATTACACAGCATAAAAATGCTTCGGACTCTAAAACAGTTAATGAGGTGTTGCTTTCTGACTGTGCTTTCCTGTAGTCACAGCCCATTGTCATTAAACTTTTTTTTCCTTGCACCTGTAAATAGCTGCCTAATCACTCATACAAACTGTCCACAAGTTAAAACAAGTGGGGAACACTAAGCAGAACATTTGGTCTCAACTACTTGATATTTCTGCTGATGTTCTCATCAAATAATCGGCCCACAAGGCATGCTTACTTTACTTGATTGCAATGTTCATGACTTCTTAAGATTGATTCTTGGGCTAAATTAAACGAGTCTGTGCAAGTTGGATTTCTCTGGAGAACTGCGAATAAAACCTGTCACTTAGAGATGAGAAAGTTGTTTCTTTGTGGTATAATAAATGAAGACTTTGTTTCTTGTTTGTTGGGTTGCAGTGATAAATGGCCGTATACCAGGTATGATTAAAAGTCACCTTTACAGCATAGTGCTGTATGAGGTGTAAAGTGGTACAAAAAGTAAAGTAGTAGTCATCGCCTTTTGAATGATCTTCATGTTCTTTTCTTCTTTCTTTTCATCCTGCAGAAACTAAGGAACTCGTTAGTTGGAT